CTGGGCTAGTCATGAAGTGCGAATCGATACACTCTCAAAACAAGAAGGTCAAGATGCATTGTGTGTTCCATCCAAAGGCCCTGCCGAAATTCATCATGTGAAATAATTGTTATTTTCATAATGAATTAAAAGTTGTTAAACATTACATTTTTTACAGGACACAGTCGTTATGTTCCGCATTGAAGAGGATGACAGAGGAACTTACTTGTGTTATTATTGAGCTTAACGGCACCTACAGAAAGCCTTTGTATCCTTGTTTTTCTCACTCCGATACACCACTTATTCTCCATCTCGCCCTAATTCTGTGACTCATTTTCTCTTGTAGTACATTTCCTTGTGTCTGGCACCATAGATAAGATGCAGGAGATAGGTGGTGACGATGCTTTCGGTAGATTAGTCTGATATGGGGTTAAGATAAAGGAATAATAGCAGATACAAAGAGAGGCAGTGAGAAAACAAAAGCTATAAAAAGAGATTCCCTGAAAAATGCCATTGACTTGTGTGTCCGGTAAGCAGAGAGCTACATCTGACTTGGCTGTTTGTGTCTTGTCAAACTGATCATAACAGGTCAAAAGAAAACTAAATGTTGTGCTAACTTCTTTCCTGCTTCCTGTATGTAGCATGTTTGTGTGTATGTTGACCACGGCTGTCTTAAAGAGAAATACAGTTTTGGAGACGGCACCGTCGTCACCAACATCTCCTTCCCAATGCAAGTGGTTGGGGAAAAGCATTTTGGATCCTATGGCATCACGTTTAAGACCTCACAGCATGGGCACTATGGAGAATTCGATGAGAAGCTCTTTCCCGGGGGACCTGGTGTGTACATGCATGTGTGTGATGAACAATATGTAATTTCAGACATTTACAAATCGCCTTTCGCAGGCAATCAGACAGCAGCGATGGGACGGAGATTGGATTTGAAGGTGGTGGAGTGGGCTGATTTTCTAGAACTCCACAGTCACAACATCAAGAATATACTGGAGATAAATCAGGGCCGGAGAAAGACAGCTGTCAGAGGAACAGCAAATGATGTGAATTGGAATTTGGCCCTAATCATAGCTGTGGGCTCGGCAGCGGACTCATGCATTTTATTACTTGTCAGATACTGTGTCTCCTGAAAAAGCCCTTTCATCACGGACACACCGGCTCATTGCCGAGCTGACACGGGGGAATGGGCTTCATTGAAAAAGTATGCTCCTTAAATTTTAAACCACTGCGAATGCACCTATATGTGATGGTCGACTTCTGCTATAGACAAAATTAGACTGAAAATTAAAACTACTGAAAAACCATCCAGTGTTATCCAGTTTATGAAGCTTTTTCTCCATTTTTGTTGGTATAGAGTAAGTAATGACTTATATATATGTGAATATGTTGTTATACAGCCACTAACAGTGAACATTTTTAAACATTAACTGTTGCTAGAATCACATTTTGTGTCATGTTTAACTTTAATTGAGAACAGTTAAAAAATAAAACAGTCTTATTATGCTTTAATGCAGAAAAAAGCCAAGAGGGAATGTTGAAGTGACAGTTGGTTTGAGGTAGAATTATGTTGTACTTGTTTACAGGGCCTTTAAATGCTCTTTCGTCTTGTCATTCACCTCCAACTAACTCTAGGATTCAAGGGCTTGGTCTCATGCCAACTCTCTCTTGCAATTGTTTTATTCAGACTATGTGCGGTAAGTCCTTCAGACATTGTCACCTTGGCCAAACGCTCAACATATCTTAACAACCTCGACTTTATGACACTCCAGCGTACAGAGGGATAAACTATTTGTTAATAAAGATTACATAAAAACTGACAATGAAAGTATTTTCTTCTATGAACAGTACAAAATGTTACTGGCCAGATGCTCTGAGTGCAGATATTTTCAAAATACACAGCAATGTCTAGGGAATCTTCTCTGCAAACAACACAACGACAGCAATCAGACAACATCCTGTTGTGTGCTCTGCAGCCACACACCACGTGTGTTCCATGTTTCCTGAACAGTGCACTACAGATCAGTATGGCACTGCTCGCAGGAGGCCAAGTAGGGCAAATCACTTTGGAAAATAAATCCAATTGCAATGGCTTGGAAATGTTAGACGTAATAACTTTTTTTTACATAATTATTCTAATTTTAATAAAAATGCATCGACATTATTGTATGGGTGGGGAGACCAGGGAATCTCTGGCAATAATTAATCTAAAATGGTATCTAGACACACGTTTTGTCTCCAACAAATATTGCGCCTCTCGCAATTAGAGAATTCCAGCGTAAAGATTTGATTGGATGTGCAGCCCTATATCCAAGACACACACAAACACACAATAAAAAGGCTAAGTTGTCAGAGCGCACAGCCTCCCTGAATTGCAGTCTGTGTTCTTCCTACTGGACACATCCAAATGAAATTGAAGATAAATGAAACAACAGTGATGAACATTTCGCAGTTTTGAACATCCCATTAAGGGATCCGAGGCAGAGCACTGATTACTGTTTTGTCAGGCAGACGCATTCAGAGCTTGAGTGATGACAGAGATTATATTAGTGTTACAGCAAAGCCGTAGAATAAAACAAAAGGCACTGAATTGGATCGCCTCAAAGGCACGCTTTTCTCATCCTCCTCCATTCCAATGAAAATCCCACGAAAAAGAACAAAAATGAAGCAGTTCAACAAGGGACACCACAAGTTTGCATGCTTAGGCCTGTAGTTCATGTCTCATACATCCTACATACAGTCACTTCTCTCAGGCACGCTCAATAATAATCTCCTTGCTTCCATTGCTCCGGGATTTCAATCCGGATATCGACAGTTACCATCAGCTGGTCGCATGCATCCAATGAAACAGCAACACACCTACATTTTAGCCAATCATCTTGCAGCTGTCTCTCTGTACGTCCACGGTGCTGTTACACCCGCCCCTCCAGCTGCCCGTCATCGCCCAGTCATGCAGATTGATTAGATTTAACATTTCATCACCTACATGTCTCACTAGAATCACGGACTCCACGGTGGGATTTGTCTTGCAGCTGGTTAGTGCAGATGCTCTCTGGAGTAGTCTTCTGTTAAGTCTTTGTTATTATCCGTTATAATGAACAATTATATTTTCTTCATGCGCTTGTCTCTCCTAGAATATGCTTAATAATCTTTATGGGCACTTCTTTTATGGAGTGCAGGCTTATATACCTTTGATTAGGCCTAATGCGTGGTAGTGCAACCTCTGCTGTGATTTCCTGTTCTTACACATGTATGGTTGCATTGTATGTCGAATGTTTGATCTTGACCTCCATTTTAGTATCATATGAGCCTGATGTCTGTGCTCAAACGAACACAGCGTCTAAAACCATTATGCTCCAACCACTCGCTCAGCCTTGGATGCATTGCCTTTGTGGGGTGGTAGATTCTCCACTCCCTGCACTCTTTATTCCTCTCATCGCATTGGATATATTTCATCCCTACTTCTTGTTCTTCACCTTATACACAAATTCGAAGCGTGTCAAGTACTGGGCCGACCACAAGCTAAAGTTCAAAACCTTTTCCTATTTCCACAAGGAAGAAATGGAAGAAGCAGAGTGATTGACATAGTTCAAAACACAGATGCACAAAGGGAGGGAAATGTAGATGATCAACATATGGGTCTTAATTTGCATTTGCAAAAAATATAAGTACTTGCATCTGGCAGCTATGAAAAGGCTTTTTTCCCCGGGGGAAAATTAGGAAAACCAGCATTAATTATCAGTGTTGCAAACATTTTATAAGAAAAACCTCATCTAAAACCCATCATAAGCAGGTGTGATGAACTACTTTTGTACTCATTTTGTCAGTAATTATATCAATCAGAGTTTGAATGAGGTTCCCCTCCAGCAGAAGACGGTTGAGCAGATCAATCAATTTATTTCTGTCACTTTGGATTTGATTACATGGGTAACATTGGGTTGTCAGTCACGTACGGCCTTCTGGTTATGGAGACTACAAATTTTTAAAAGAGTCTGTTTAATTCATTCATAAGCAAATAACACAATTCCTCCCTTGGCCAATTGGGATATAGATATCAATCGAGATGTGCTGCTCGTATCACTCCCTTCACAAAAAAAGAAGGCACATTGCAGAGAAATATTTGTCTGTTGGGGGCCGGGGGTTTACTCACAGGTCTCAAAGAACCCTGAACAGCAGAAGCTTTAAGAGTCCTCAAGGTCAAGGTTCACACAAGCCCCGCCTACTCCTTGAGCAGTGGTTAATTCAAAATGGACAAATTACTGTCAGTGTTCTTTATATATTAGCAGCTAGTATGCAGATGAATTATGCGTTTTATAAATGGAGTACTACCTACATGCATAGGAGGCGAGCTATTATTTGCATGTATTTTGAGAGAAGCACATCCAGTGGTTTCATCAGCCGCGAGGAGTAGGCGTCTAAAGAAAGCTGCAGCTTTGATGGGGGCTAAACGAAGGACGGAACTTTGAATGTGTTTATTCACATTCAAAGTTCATTTAGAAATGGTAAACGAGTGCATCAATGTTTTTTTTTTTTATCAGCGTAGAATATGTGTGACACTGATTACAATAATTCCCTGCAATGGGAAATGTTTCCTAGTACTGGAAATCCAACTGGAAATGACCTAAGTAGAATTACCGGTGGATCCACTCTCAGTTTTCTGGTGCCAGGCTGTGTGGTTGTGGCACTCTAAAGACAACAAAATCTGGGCCTTAGATGCTGGTCAGCACCAATAAGGGGGGGGGGGGACACTTAAATATTTACCAAGTGGACCCTGGACAAGCTGTTTTATGTTTTATGATGTCAAGAAATTGACTTGAGACAGAGAGCAGAGACCAGAAAATGTCAGGGTGAATCATCTCAGGGACATCAATAAAACATAGCAAAGCAATGCCTTGAAAACCTCAACAGTCCAACCTGTCCTCTTCAGTACGTCCCTGGCTTGTCCCACTCCAAGTCCAATACACACACACTGCACATGCACGCAACGCAGACGTTAAAATCGGAATGGTAAATACCTGATTTGAGTTTCTGTGATCACACCACATGTCGCCCTGTAGTCAAACTCACACCAACACCTACACAGAAAAAAAGAGGGAAAGAATTAGAGCTATAATGCGGTTTGTACGACAATTTAAAACATATTTTGTCATACATTGAAACAAATATAGAGGCAAGCCATGCCTCGGTAAACTGAAGTGCAATAATCTCATTTATACGGGAATTTGATATTATTCCATATCTTATTCTCAGATTATGTCCCTCTAGTCTCCTACGTATCCTGTCAGTCTCCATTATACTGTTCAGTGATGCACACAGTAGCTGCTCCACAAACAGCCACCGAGTTTGTCTTTTGCAAAGGTGGAGTAGCCTTGTGATTCGGAAGTGGGATGTAATGAACTATATTTACACACTCGATTGTTATAATAACATACCATTAAACATCAATGGTAAGATTTGTCATGTTTATCAGTTATTTCCATATAAGGAAAATTATTTATTTTTTTAAATGTGTAAAATTGCATACCTAATGAGCAGTGTCCTTCACCTTTTCTGTTTTAGGGATAGTAAAGGTTCTTCTAAACATCAAAGTAGAACGCATTTTCTCTAAAAATGGTTGCATTCAGGATGGTCTTATGCGTCCTTGGCGTTCTGTTTGAGTTTTACTGTTGGTTCAGCTGGCTATGGTAGCTGTACTGCAGCAGAGCTGGCAATATTAGAACCAGTACGAACCTGAACGTGTGTGAGCATTCCGCTTGTGCTATGACAACACTGTGCCACAACTTTTAGTCCTCCCACTTGTGTGCACAAACCCCACCCCTCAAAAACAACACACCAAAATGAGAGAGAATAAAATATAAATGGATTGGTTGATTTATTATATGGAAAAAGAAAAATATATTTTATGGTATGTTAATTAGTGGCAGTATTGTTTTTGATTTGGAGATGTCGGTTGAGATGCAAATGTTGTTACGCGAACCCTCGATGTTATAATAAAAGAAATGCAGGTTGGAGTCTTCAATGTAGCTGTATAGCAGAGGAGAGGATCATCCGAAAAGAGCTCAGAGACATAACCACAGGCTGTGCCAAGTTAATGGGTGCAATCTACTGCCTTAACCTGGAGTACCCCCGTAATGTGAAACACACCTTTGAGTCCCTTCAGGGGGTCATTATGAACATCATCAAACTAGATCAAAGCTCAGCAAGAATACCCATGGGCGGATAAACAAACTGCTCCGATATTGCTTGCAAACAAATTAATGCACATGAAGACGCTTTTATTTGAGACTCTTGCATTGTTCTTCCAACAAACAATGTTATTGTTTTAACAGGATTTCACATATCAGAAAAAGACAAAAGCAAGGTCTGTTGAAAAATGTTGAATTGAAAAAACTTACACCAACCGTTCAACATGTAAAAATACACACAAGAATTAAGAGACCAACTGCTTCAATCAGGAAACCATGACAACGGCCATTATACAGATATACTTGTATTGCATTTATTTAGTCACACCCGTGCGCATGCATCTACCGCACAGATCCAGACCTGTAGGCTGGAGAAAAGAAAGCATCGTGCTGAGGGAGTGTGTCAGGAAGCCGTGGGCATGGTCTGTTACGTGACGTGGAGCGACACCTCGACCTTCCCAACGTGCAGCTGCTCGGTGCTCGCCCATCGAGATGTCTTTTGAGACTTTATTTTGGCGGCTGAGTCTCCCTTTGGAAACCTACAGTCTCAGGGCCGATATATCAATCCTAAAAATGTAATGTAATATTTGCATTGAACTCAAAAACTCCACTGTGTAGCTCTTAATACTTTGCAAGGTGCAAGTGATTGTCACTGTGTCAAGTGAACAAGAAAAGTATTATGGCGTGCAAATATTATTGAGGCCATCAGTCTCTCAAACCTTCTGCAGATGACTTTCAATAGCTTATGGGCTCGAAGATGATCAAATTGTCTTTAACAACCAGTTAAACAACCTGCAGAGGACTAAGAATCTAGGCCATTCTATCAGCATTGAGAGACCTTAAGACTTGTTTCACCTCATCATAGTAATGATAAACAAAATGAAACAGCTGTGTGATGAAACCACTGAGAGCGAAGCAATCTTCTACCCCCACGCTTCACAAACACCGCTGCACGTTTTTACGAGCAGGGAAAAGCAAATGTGCCAAATATGCCTTTTTTTAAACAAAGACCTGAGCTCAAGAATATTCTTGATTCAAGAAAATAAATATGAAATGTCAAGTTGTCATCACAAACCCCTACATGCAATCAGTCACGTCAATATGAGGTGGAGGAAAGCATTTCCTTGCATTAAGGGATGGTTGATGGAGGGTGAATTATGGAGCTCGCTCTTTAAGGCTGATTGACTCAAGGAATTCATCAAAGGCCACATCAAAGAATATCATGCAGTGTTAGGATTCGCGTGTATCAATAGGAGAGAACGAGACAGATAGGGGAGGATATTGTAGAGGACAGTTATTCAAAAGGAGGTGCACACAGCAAAATATGAGCAACTGGGAGATACAGATCCAAGCAAACATGTGGGAGTGGATAAACACACGTATTAGATGCCGGAGCAGACAAGTATATGCCCCAGTCCCGAAATGCTTCCCAGAGCACTCATTTTGCTTCATTTCCCGTTCCATTCTTTGGTAATGAATAGCGTTCATCACTGCCTACATGGAAAAGACAGGAGGGGGAAGACAAAGACAATGGAAGGACAAGTGATCGGCTTTCTCCTCCACACTGACGTGCTGTACAAATGAAACTCAATAATTACAATCAATAGGGCCCCGACATGCAAATCCTTTAGTCTCCATAATTACACCCGAAAGTCTCACACAGATCCTATCAGGAAACGGACAGTTGTCACGAGCTCCGATGGAGGCATGTTCTCTGGAAAGGAGTCACAGCGTTCATCGCGCTGGGCCGACTATCCTTCTAATGCCGCCTCCGCCCCTCCGATGCCCCTGTGGTCCCGAAGATCCCGCTCCGCTGCGCTGTGCCACGCAGTTTCAGCCGGGATTTCCCCACAAGCTTAAAGGGGAGTGAAGCCCTCTCTTTGTTTAGCACTTCAAGGGAAACAAGAGAAAAGAAAAGGGAGCAAGAGGGGGAGAGAAAAGGAAATAATAGGCACAGGGGGGAGAGACCATGAAAAAGGAAAAGGCAGAAGGGAAGCAGCAAAGGAGTATGGGAGTGGGAGGGAAAATATGAGAGAAATAAAAAGGGAAGGGATGGACAGACCTTGAATGGAAGTAGCTGCTTTCACAGCCGGCACTTTCTCCTAAAAATGACATTTTCACACAGAGAAAGCGCCCTGGGAATTACGTTGTGAAGGGAAAGAATTCTGACCTTGATAACATCTGCTTTGGAGGTTTCCAAAATACCTTTTTCAAATGAAACCACTAATGGGAAGAGGGTCAAAGACCATAGAGCTTTCACCCGGAGCACTGCTGTTTGTGTCCCAGATAAACAAGTTCATTCAGCTCTAATTTAGAAAGTACCGGTCAAATCAAAACAACTGCTTAGTTTCCTTCAGTCCTATAATACGTTTGCCAAATTCTAAATAATGCTGCAAATATCCCATTTCGGCCGTCTTGCACATGAATGTGCTATATCTAAAGTGCAGTGCACTCTTTTAGAGCCAGTGCTTTTCTCTGCTATCAAAATAGCTCCTCCCTGTGGCCTTGGTAGTCTCCATCTACTTCTGCAGCTGCAATAGATGTTAAACCATTTTTTATTTGGCCCTCAATTAATGACACAATTAGTGGTATAATTACAGATAATGTATGAAGGATTTGTAAGTGACACTCTTGCAGAGGTTAGATGAGAGGGTCAAGAGCACTCTCATATTTGTGTACAAACAATATAAAACTGAAGCCCGGAGACAACTAGCAAGGATTAGCATAAATACTGGAAACATTGTTGAATCCTCATTTATTTTCCGTGGAGTTATTATGAAAACTTATGCAAACTGTCTCATGGCTGTTGCAGAGTATCTAATAGACTGATACGAGACCTGTATGGATACCGTACGTGCCTCCTAAAAGTATTCCTTTAAGACTTCGGTAACCAAAACACTTGGACATTGAAATACCGTTTCTGTGATCAAGGTTATGGAAGCTCACTGACAAGTTAGAATTATGGGCATGGAAATAAACCCAACAATAAACTACTGGACCAACGTCTAACACAGAGGAAGGAGTAATACAGGTTCTGGAAAAGTCAAATCATGCAATTTATTTGTAATGCACTCTTTATCAATAGATCTAACAGTGCCACAGAGAAAGCAACAGTTCAAAAGTTAAAACAAAGTAAAAACTACTATAAACGCCTTCTTGAATAAGGAGGTTTTTGGGCAGTAATTAGTTCTTGCAGATAGGGAGGTGCATGTCTATGAGTAGAAGAACTTGAGACGGGGAGCCGGTGTAGTGAGTGCAGGGTGGGTGTCATGTGCTCATATTTCCGGACTCTCATCAGGATTCTGGCAGCGCTGTTTCGGATGTATTGCAATTTCTGGATATGCTTGCCAAGTGATCCCAGTAAAAGGGGAGTTACAGCAGCTCCAGTCTTGAGGAGATAAAGGCGAGGACGAGTTTCTATGCATCTGACTGACAGGATCAAAGTGTGGCGGAGTTTGGGGAGGTTTTCGAGGTTATGTGTCATATTACTGTATAAAATTGAAGTCCCCACTTAAGAATGAGAAAGAACATTACTTCAGAGAAATGGAGATAATGAGGAATTATGAGGTGCATGAGCGTCACTCCCCTCTGCTCCACCACGCTCTAATAACGTCTTCTAGTGTGTCGGTTGATAATGAGAGGGCATTAGTAAATCCATGTAGCTCTAGCACAGAAATGCACATTCGTGTATATCAAAAATGCAAAAAAGGACTTTCACAAATCATCCAACCAGAGGGTTGTTTTCTTTCTAGTGGGTATTTTTGTTATTTCACCTTCTGACAGGGAGGCATATGTTTTTCTTAAAAATACACTGACTAAACTTCTATAAGACCATAGCGTCTACAATTACAGAACCAGCTGATGCTGCACACTGGGATTTAACAACATCA